CGGGCGGGAGCACCCCGGCGCGGTCCGGGGGGAAGGGGCCCCCCCCTGCCCCGGCGGGGCGGCGGTCGCTTCTGCCCGTTAGTGCCTGCGGCCGGGGGGGGACGGGGACGGGGACGGGGAGAGCAGCGAGGGCTGCTCCTGCCGGGATGGCCCGCTGTTCTGGGAGTGGGGACCCCGGGGTGATGCGGGGGTGCCGCACACGCCGGTCTCCGCTCGGGGTCTGTGGGATGGGGAGCGAGTGCGCGGGGATGCTTTGGGACCCGCAGCGTGGGATGGGGAGCGCGTTCCCCTGGCCGGGTTGCTGTGGCGTGATGAAGAAACCCATCCTCGCTGCTCCCAGCCTGCCTTTCAACAGGTTAATTATTTCATTAAGGCGAACGTCTGGAGTTAGCAGGAGTTAGTTGCTGGGCTGTGCCTACACCGTCTCTCCCGTGTGTCAGCCGCCGGATAGACGTCGGCAGGGCGAGCTCGGGAACCTCCTCGGCAGGGCCAGGTAAAGGGATGTGGTGCTGCACCCGCTGCGGCTGCAGCCGTCGCCCCGTGCCGCGGGGGCTGTTTTGGGGCTGTGCGGGGGCAGTGGGCATCGCAGCTCGAAGCCCTCCTGAAACGGAGGTGGTCATCCTGCGCCCCAACCGGCACTGGGGCAGCTCAGAGAGGCGTGGGAGAGGAGGAGGAGGAGGATGCTGTGGCTGCCTGCAGGTGCAATGGGCCGTGCTGAGGAGATGCCCCTGACCAGCGATGCTCCGAATGTCAGGTCTGCCGTTGCCTTGGCTTTTTCTGCTGCAGGGTGTCCCTGGGTCGCCCCTGGGCTGTGGCTGTGCCGGGAGCAGGGCACGGGCAGCCGTGGTGGTGCGGTGAAGCGCTGGCGTCCTGCGGGTGCTTCCCGGAAAGTCTGGCTGTGTGGCTGCGCACGAGGCCTTTGAGGCAGCAGTGACCGCGGAGAGGGGCTCGGGTGCCATTTGGACGGTGCCCTGCACCCTCTGCCTCTCCCGGGAAGCGCTTTCCCGTATGTCAGGAGGCAGGCAAAAGGGCATTTTTGCTGTAAACCTTCTATAGCCTAATTGCTCATGTCATCTCATTAACTGAACCGGGAAAGGCTTGTCCTTTTTGGTGGGACATTATGACTTTGAACAAGCTGGGAAGTCAGTTGCGTCAGTGGTGGGGAAGAGGCCTGGAAGGCACTACGAAATGGCATAAATTCATAAACGGGATCTGGCGATGAGACCCTCAGGGCCTGATTTGGTGCGGTGCTCGGGAAGTTGAAGTTGTTGGATGGCAGATTACCCTCCATGAACGGGGCACGGGCATCATCCATAAGCCATAGCCTGCTGTGCCCAGTGCCAGCGTGATGGCCATCGTGTTTCCATAAAGGATGTCCTCTGAAGCGCCTCCTCGCTGCGAGGCCTTCAGGGACTCATCTGCACTTTCAAATGATGCTGATTTTCTGTGCGGTCCCTCTTATTCTCCCCCTCAGGTTTAGTCTTGTGTCCTTCCGACAGCAAACACAACTTTGGGTCCTGCATGGAATTATTTATGACTTGGAGTTTACAAAGTGTTATATAAATAGTAAACGTTGGTGCAAACTGGGTGTTTTCTGGCCCTCCCGGAGCTCCTGAGCAGGGGCACCGAGCACCCACGTGCTGCTGGAACTGGAGATGCTGCTTTTGTCCTTTTCCTGCAGAAAAGCGCAATTCTCAGTGGCTGCAGGGAGACAGGCGGATTGTGTCCTGCGGGCGGTGGGATGTGAGGGGACGGGGACCTGGCTGGCGGGGGGAGCCCGTGCCAGCGCTGTGCCTGGCCCCGGAGGAGGGATGGGGCAGATCGCCCCTCGCTCGCTGCCGAGGAGGAGCGCAGTCTGCGGGGCAGCGCTTGGAGCCGTCGCAGTCTCCTCTGCACGAAGGTTTTTGCGTATGCAAGTGCGATCCGGGGTGAGCTCGCAGAGAAGAGCGGAGCTGGTTCGTGGGCTATCAGTTGAACCCGTATTAATTAAGGACGGCAGAGGGGGACCGTAGGGAGTCCCGGGAGGGGTGCCGTGGGTCCGGCAGTGGGGCTGG